TTTTTTTTTTCTTTTTTCTTGAATATTTGGATTTAGAACTTGTATAAAAATAATTATTGAAAGATAAATATAAATAGCTTTGTTTTGTGACACTTCACATGATTTCAGGCTTGAAAGCTATCAATCAATTAATGAGTCATAATTAGTGTGGGTACACTTCCAATCAATCAAACCAAAGATAAATTAGTTTCAAAAAAAAAAAAAAAGATAAAAATAAAACATGAACAACAAACAATTATTGTAAAATGAATAGATACAATATATATTGTTGAAAATGTATAATGATTTCATCTCAAAATGCTTGATAAAATAGATGAAAACATTCTTTATTTGGGAATCTAATGATTATGAAAAGAATTTAATTGACGAAGAAGTGATAGATAAGCTCGACCAAATAAATTTTTAAAAATAATTAAAAAAAAAATCACCATGATTGGATACTAATAATGGTATTATTCTTCAAAAAAAAAAAATTAATTTCTAAAAAGTTATTGAAATTATCTTCTACATAATTTAATTTGTATAATTTAGTTGTTCTTTAGGTCTAAGTCATATAAAATTAATATACTTAAATTTATTTATAATATATGTCTTTATTGATTATGAATTGTTAAATAAACTGAAATTGAATGTACAATTTACAAAGTGATTGAAATTATATTTTTTTATTAAACAAATTAAATAGTGTGTGATTTTTGTTCTAGGTTATGATTGTTGTATGTTATGATTAAAGACTGCATGAATTCAATAATTGCAATGATCCCAAAAGCATGACATATCTGACCGGGTCGGGTCACCTCCTCTAGATGATTGTATTTTTATTTTTTGGAATTTTAATTAAATATTTATTTATCTTCAAGAAAAGCCACCCCACGCGTGTGAGAGTGAGACCACCCCACTCATTATTATTTTTTTATTTATTCAATTACCCCCACCTACAAATATCTTTTTAATTTTCCATTTCATATTTTGTACTTATTTTCCCTTTTGATTTTCAATTTTAATTATTTTAAGAAATCCAGTATTAATTAAATTAAGGAAGTGAATTGTCTGCTTAAGTAAAAACATATGGTTGGGTTATTTATGGTCAAATTTTGGTGTTAGACCGAACTTTCCAGAAGTTCTAATAATGTTTTGATTTATTCTTTTTATGATATTATTTAATATTTTACAAATATTGTAATTACATTATCATCATAATTGAGATTCATCACCACTTTCTATTCTAGACCTAAAAATAAACGATTCAATTATCAAAGAAAATGAAATGTACACACACACACACACGTATATTTGTGTGTGTGTGTGTGTGTGTATTTCATGTGTTCTTTATATTGTAATTAGTTATGGTGGCTTTTGGGGTGAGTTTTAGGACAGCAAACAATATTTGCAGACAATTATAAATTATGAAGTTTGACCTTATAAATATTTTTTTTAACTGAAATTATTTCATATACAAAATAAATTCATGTAAATTTGAAATTCAAAATATTATCAGCTAGCAGATGTATTATTGATATAGGTTTCTTTTCCAATTGTATATATCAAAACTCATCTATGGATATAATTACATGCATATCACCAAAATTGCTAATTATTAAAATGTGCATGTTTGAGATATATCTAGAGTCGATTATTATATTGTTGACTTTTGGTTTTTTAATTTGAGATAATGTTTTATTGTAATTTAATTTTACATAATACTTGTGACATGATAAGATTGACTACACTTGTGTGCATAAATAAATGTTTTAACATTATTAATTAACTTAAGTTTTAATTTTTTTCTTTTATCACATTATTAAATAATCAAAATTATTTTAATTTTTTTAATATATTTTTTCTAAAATCAATACGCACTTTATTGATATTTTTAATACTCGTACAAAGCCGTAAAAATGACAATTAACTAGTACAATTAGGTTTATGGAACTTATATATCACAATTTATTATGATGAGTTGGGTGGCCCTAAAGCATATAGTATTTACATTATGATTTGCAATAATAAAATGAAATCTTGAAAATGATCTTTTTTATTTCCCTCTTATTAAGTTGTTGATTGTGTTGAAGATGTGGTTTGGCATCAATTGATTTGCAACCATTATTTGAACACTGCAATGATCCTATACACAGGGGAATTATCAATTATGTTACCATTAAGCAAACCCAAGTTAATTAGCATTAATGACACTCTCTAATTAATAATTAATTAGAGTAGACGACTTAATTATTTTCTTTATTTATTTTCACCTAATGCTGGATAAACTCTTAATTATTGTACACTTATTAATAAACAAATCATTTATTACTTCAACTTTATATATCCTGAGCCCCAAAGCTTGAAGTCTAGATCTGCCAAACCTAGAAGAAACGTTAACGTTTTTCATCACAATTATTTCACTAATTGTTAAAAAATTATTAGCACTTAATTCTCATTAATCCAATTAGTTTACACGATTAATAGTTAATTAAAATCCAAAATAAATAATACACCAAATTTAAACCTAATTGAGAGCAATATCCGGTGGCAATGTATATTATTGGCTACATTTACACTCTCGTACAATAGTTTGTAAATTGTACGATCGATGTGTGACAAATTCTACCCAACAGTCGATGAAAAGGGAATTCGAATTTGGGTTAATTGAATGAAATAAGAAAGGGTCTATTAGATATAACCCCCTTAAACATTCAAATAATAGGGGTAGACCCAAATTTAAATTTGCCATTTTGATAAAAGCCCAAGCTTTTCGTAATTACATAATTACCCTCAATCAAATCCCACAAATCCCGTTACTTTACCTTTTTAAAATTAATAGACTATCTCATATCTTTTAATAGACTATCCCATGTATCTAATTCAACTATGGGTTTAATTAATTTACTATTGGAAAAATAATAATATATATGGAAACTGAATAATATGTTTGTTTGAAATACTAATCAATTAGGGTAATTTTCCTTATTATATGAAAACGATTAGGGTAAATAATAATATATATGAAAAAATAATAATATATATGGAAACTGAATAATATGTTTGTTATACTAATCAATTAAGGTAATTTTCCTTATATCATGTAATAGACTATCTTATTGATCTAATTCGACTATGGATCTCGTTAATAGAGTATGGATCCCGTATTATTCAACCACATAGTATATTAATAATTTCAATATAGTACATTAATCTGTTGTGATAGTATATTACGGTTATAGTATTGATATGAAATTGTGTTACAAACAATATACCACTGAAATGACAAGAACATTGAGAACAACACCAACGTAAAGTATTCCACATAACCAATAAAATAGTACATTAATAATCTCATAATTTCAATCTAAGGTTTTGATAAAATACATAAAACACATCATAACACAATCAAACCAATATGTCGAGTTAAAAAACTCTAGTACATTAATAATCTCATAATAGTATAATAAAATGATAATGGTAGTATCATACGGTATTCATAATAGTATACTACTGTATTACAACGGTTTAACACTTAACCGAAGTTACTGAGTCATTACATCGTAAACACCTCTTTATAGCAACCAACCCACCAAACCTCAACAAAATCCGTACGAAATTCGCCATCGAAAAAACCTAAAATCATGAAACAAAATTAAAAATGCAGAATACTAAAAAATAATTAAATAGACTGCAAATACATTTGAATGATAATACATTAATATCATCAAAAATAAACTTAAAATGCAAAATTCATACGCTAAATTAAAAAAGACTACGAACTATATTTTAATGTACTACCCAGCACACTTAAATCGGCTGTTAAACAAAT